GGGGAAGCAGCTCAGCCCCTCGTCAAAGCAGTCTCCTGCGGTTCGTCAGCGGCAGGATCGGGCCCCGCTGGGGAAAAAAACCCCACCAAAACCAAAAAAAAGGTTCTTTAAACACAATTTTACTGCTTGAAGGTGACGACCCGGCGATTGGATCAAAATGCCAGGAATCTCTGGGCCAGCACGCACCCCATTTTCTAATTTTTATTTTTTCTTTTTAGACGGATGCTCTGCTGAAAGCTCGGCACCGGCATCGCTACAGCAAAGCCACAGCTGGTGGGGAGAGAAAACCCCCCAAACACCACAAGCCCCAGGCAGTTCCAAGGACCCAGTTTTTTAATTACGGTTGCCTAAGGTGTTTGTTTTGTTTTTAATAAATAAACCCAAAAACACTCTCAATTACTTTTAATGCGCTCTGACTGCGTCACCTGGACAAAGAACACACGCATGGGACACCAACAGTAGTATCAGCGGAGCAAAAGGAAAGAGGCAGGAGCTGTAAGTGAGCTAATTTATGTCGTCAAACAGCAACTTCCTCTCTAAATAACAACAAAAAAATTCTATGGTTCTGCTGGCGTAAATCATGCCTTCGTAAAATAAATTTCTCCAGCTAATTCCTGAGTCCTGGATGAAGACTGAAAGGACTTGGAATAAAACCAGAAAGGGAGGAGCGGGTTTGCCTGCGATAGACGTGCTCCTCGTTACTTAATGGTCACAGGCCTGACTGCTGAGGGTCTGATCCTGCGTTTTCAGTCATAGGTCCAGAATGAAGCAGACAGAGGGGCGTTTGGAAGCAGCACTTCAGGGATTTAACACTTATTTAAACACTACAGAGCATTTCTTTATATATATTCACTTATAAAGAAGAAAATCCTATTTAACAAGCATCAGTCTTGAAAGGCAATGCTTAAAAACTGCTTCCTGCTCAAGGCAAGCTGGGAAAAAAAACCCAACCCCACATTTGCCGGTTTTTGGCTGGATTTTTGTTGGGATAAAGCCCCAAACAGCGCTGGCCCGGCGCGCCCGGGCAGCCCAACGCCCGGCCCAGCCCAGGGTCCTCGACATCCCAGTTACAAACTGGTTGAGCCGGCGCGGAGGTTCCGCTCACGATTGGTGAGGTGCAGGCAGGGGTAGGCAGGGCCAGGCGCTTTGCCCGCGCCCTGATTAGGCGGGTTAAATGTGATTGACCAGTGCGAGTAATTAATCTGTGAGAGGCCGGGCTTGGGGCTTTGTTTATACCCCTGGATTGGCTGGATTTGAATTAGATATACGTTCTATTTGTACCTGGGTGGGACCTCGCAGGGGTTTATTTTGGTGCATTACGCTATAGAAGCGCAGCGGCAACCCAGGCAAACGTCGTCGGCCACCACCACTCTCCACCGCCGTGGCTCTGCCGGAATGCTGGGCCTCACCGGGAGCCGTCAACCGGGTACGGTGCTCGAAGAGGATCAGGACTCCAGGCTGTTTTATCAAGGAGGGAGGCGGGAAAGGAGACAAATCCCACCGTTAGTAGTGCTTACAAAAAATATTTAAGCAATGTGATGCAGTATTTCCTTTTTTTTTTTTCTTCCCAGTCCTAGAGCACCAAAACAAATCGAGCTGAGTCTGCCATGCCTAAAAAAAAAAAAAACAAACCCAAAACAAAACCAAACCCAAAAACCCCACACTTGGCAGAAAGCCACCATAAGCGATAATGTGACTAACCCATAGGACAAGCCATGCTCCTTCCCTGGAAGAATGCTGCTATCAACAGTACCTGCAAAACACGGGGCCGATTTCCAAGTGGGAAGTGTTAATGACTTTGTCGTAAGGAAGATTTTTGTCTCTCGCAATGGCAACTTTACAACCAAATAAGCGGTCCTCAGACAGAAAAAAAAAACCCAACTTCCAGCATGGCTGATACAATGAAGGATGAGGGGAAGTCACAAGGAATTTCACTGCAGAAATGCACTGGGGTGTCACACACACACACCCCCCCAACAGCCACGTTTCTGCCCCAGCTCAGCACGCCCCTGGGCCAGAAACCCTCCCCAGGACGGCAGCCTTTCAACACAGGCAAAAATCCTTCCGCAAAGCAAAATGACCCACCGGTACCACACTCACACCAACTAAAGTAAAAACCCTCTCCTTAAGAAATAAAGTGTCAGCCCTATCACGCAGCGCACTAATTAATCAGTGCGATACCCACGTGGACATGAACACTCACTCCAGAGAGGAACTTGGCATAGCAGAATAGTAACAAATGAAACCCCCAAACGCTGCTATTTTTAGGTTTGCTTAAAATATACAGCTGATGACTAACAGAATTACGTACCATTTTTGTGTAATAATACCCGAACACTTCAAGATTTGTTCATCTCCTTGCAGGTGATTCCTGCTTTAACCACTAGACTGCAGCAGCAGGAGTTGCTGCAACACCTTTCCAATTTAAAAAAACATAGTTTAGTTACTTTCAGGTGATTTTTTTTTTTTCCCCTCCCACTTCTTCCCAATTGCCTTGCTAGGATCCAGCTGGCTCCCAACAGCTGCTTCATCAGCCAGACCAAGACCATAACACCAGTAACAGAGCTTTCTCGCTAATACAGTGAAAACATTATTACAATTAAGGATGCAGGAATAGCCCAACACTCATCCTGGGACAGAAGGATGTCCTGCTAAAATTAACCTCAGCAATTTCCTTAAAATCATAACATTAAAGAAATAAATAGTGGTGGGGAAAAAAAAAAAGAGAAAGAAGGTACTGAAAACAGGTTGGAGGCAGTACTTAAAGAAATTCGGATAAGCTGCAACACCCTACCTTTTGTCACTTTGAACAGAAGGTTTCTCAGTTCTTGAGAGGTAACAGCTATCCCCTGAAGCAGTATTCCCATTTCACAAGGGAAAAAGCAAGTTAGATAAATACTTTATCCAAAGCCAGCCTGTAAAATCCCCAGACGAGAGGAACATTTGGTCGTTCTTTGCTTGATGCTTCGCTAAAACCATATACTGAGATTAGCCCCTTCCTACGCTTTTTCTTTCTGAGTTTCGCCCTGTAACTCATGCTTCCAGTACCTTCCCCAAGCCCTCCTGCACACCTCCCTCCACGCCCACCACAACCGTACCCCCCTATTTCCTACCCAAGCCTCCCTTTTACCATCTTTCTATCTTTATTTCACACACAACCCTCCCCACTCACCTGCTTCTGGCCACCTCCCTCATGGACACCTCACATCCCTTCAAGCCTCCTCTCCTTCACCTCTCCCCCACACAATAACACCCATTCCCCTTATTCCCTCCTCACAGGCTCACTCCCACACCCCGCCGGCTCCCCCCTCCACACACCTTCTTGCTTTCCTCCTCTCTCCCCACCAACCCTCCCTTCACCCCGACCGTCTTCCCTCTCCCTCCCCTCCTCTCCCCTCCAACAAAATGGCGTCCTCCCTCCCGCCTTTTCCCGCCACAGCCCTCCCCCCCCGCCACGTGACGCCGCGCGCAGCCGCCCAGGGATGAAGGCGGGGCCGCGCCACGAGGTGCGGCGGGCGGGTGCGCATGCGCCGGTGGCGGGCGGGAAGAGCAGGGGCTGTGAGGTGACAGGAGGGGCAGTGGCGGGGGGACTCGGGGGGGGCACACCCCCCCCCCCCTCC